CCCTAGACTCTGCATGAAAGCGGGATGTTTCATGCACTAGGCTACCCTTTTTAGCCCAACGACAAATTCTTTTCAGAAGATTTACAAAATCATTTCTAAGAAATTTTTCCAAATTGCATTCTTGAATAACTATCCAAATAAAGCTTAGGAGATCTGAATGACTACAAACTTCAGCCTTTTAGGCCACAAATGCAAATGCTGCTTATTTGTAGGTGTGGTTTGGGCTTTTACTGCCATTATGTAAGGCTTTTAGGGTGTTTTATGAATCAATTGAAACTTTGGACCTTACAACAAATTTGTTTTGCCTGTAGGTGATAAAATATACAGAAGGGCTATGCTGGGTTATGCACTATTATTATGAAGGTGTTTGTTCCTGGCAGTGGTAAATCTTCCTTCTGAATACAGGAGGTTATTTTTGCTTATATTTCCTTTTCTAGCCCTCTTTAATGTGTGGACATATTGCCCTTAGTATATAGTATACACTGTCTTGCATGTGTATAATGTACTTGGGACCAAGAACCACATGACTGATGCACCTCACTGTCAAATTTTGTCTGCATTTCACATGATCATACACATCCATCACGTTTATTTATACTTGAAATTTTGTTCTTTCAATTTATGTGTTATTTTCGTGCTGCATTTTTCTATGGAACGACCTTCTTCTAATTCTGCTTCTAGTTTTAGACACTGCTTATCATCGTGGCGCTTTGGCTTTCATTGCATACGTTGTTCCTCTGCAGGTTTTATCCCTATCATTACGCACCATTTGCTTCTGATCTTAAGGATCTTGGCCAGTTGAATATCACATTTGAACTAGGTTCACCTTTCAAGCCGTTCAATCCGCTGTTGGGGGTCTTCCCTGCTACCAGGTTTAATCCTCTTTTTTTGCAGTCCTTAAACAACTTGTCTCTCCTGTCATTTAAAAAAGAAAAAGAAAAAAAGCTAGTTTTCACGCTTGGGAATGTTGACTATTTATTGCAGTGCTCATGCTCTTCCGGAGCAGTATAGGAGGTTGATGACAGACCCAACTTCGCTCATTATTGATTTTTATCCTGCCGGTATGATCTCCTTTTT